GGAAGGAGAGCTGAGCGGAGCAGCTGGTGCTGTCTGGCCTTTTGCAAAGCTCCACCTGTCAGTGCTGCAGAAAGTGCCCTCTGAGGGCCAGACCCTGAAGAAGCTGGTGCAGGACCTGCTGGAGGTGTGCCAGATGCTCTCCCAGGACACCTTCATGCCAGAGCTGCACCCGGTCATTGGGGAGCAGGGCCCCATTGAGTTCTGCCACGACCTGGGCCATCGCGTCATCTACCAGCTCCTTGTGTGCCTGAGGCCACCCTTCAAGCACTCCTTCCACCTGCAGCTGCCCGATGACACGATGGATGGGCCAGAGAGGCGCTTGCGTGTCCGTGTGCTGCTGGAGTGCTCGTGCTCCAGGACGATGGCGACTCCCTTGTGCTTTGCCCACCCCACATACAACCATCTGCACTCGCCCGTCCTACGCACCCTGTGCACAGATTCCCACTTGGAGGTGGAGAAAATCACTGCCTGGATGCAGCAGCTGTTGCAATCAGCCTGGGATCATTTGCCTCAGTGGCACGACTGGCAGCTCCGGGTGCTGCCCTCCTCCCGCTCCTGCAGGCTCCTGTTGACCAGCCCCTGCCAGGTGCCGCTCTGCGCTGTGCTGCTCTTGGCACTGCAGCAGGGCCGCCCAGGCACCTTCCTGGTCCTGGAATAGGCAGCCACAGCTTTTCCAGTGGCCACTTTAGTCTAGGATAGAGTTAGAGAAGGATAGGTCTAGATTAAGTCTGGGGTTAGAGTTTCCCAATTGCTTTTCCCAGCAATTGGTTTAGGTGGGGGTAGAGTTAGGCTTAGGAGGGCCTTAGACTTGTAGGGGGGTAGATTTTAAGTTAATGCTTTGCCAAGGGGTGGTTTAGGCTGGGGTAGAGTTAAGCTAAGATAGATAGTCAGGATAGGGTTCAATATTCGGCACCTACTCTCTACGGGGTTCTATTTTTCTACTTTTCTGCTTCCAACTTGAAAATAAAGGGAAAGGTTGAGCAGAGCTTGCCCTGTGTCAAGGCCTTTTCTGTTTCTCGTCCTGCCGGGCTGGGGAGTTCTCTCTCCTTTTTCTCCCTTTCTCTCCCTCGCCTCTTCAATTCATCTCTTCCCTTGGACCCTACCCCTTTTTCCAAAGCCCACTGGGGTGTACTGACACAGGAGCTCTGGCAGCAACCTCCCACTGTCCATGGCAAGTATGGGATTTAGTTGGGAGTTTTTGTGGGCCTTGGGACTTTGGGCCTTCCTTTGGAGCACGAGAATTTCCAGATCTTGGGGGCTCCCCTCTCCTGGAGGCTGCGATGTCTGAGCAAGCTGGTCGAGTGTAAGGTGTCCCTACCCGCGGCAGGGATTGCAACTCCATGGCCTTTAGGGCACCTTCCAACACCAAGCAGTCTGTGACTCTGTGAAGGAGAGCTTTTGCCTCCTACCTCCAGACACGACTTGCCTTCATTCAGGCCGTGTAGCAGTTATATTAATATAATAAGTAATGAGTCCTTAGGACCAGGCAGGCACCACTATGGTGCAGAATGAATGCATCTGTATTAATATAATAAATAAGGGGTCGCAAGGACCACGAGGACACCACTATGGTGCGTGAGAAAAGCATGGTTTATTGAAAGAGGCGCAACTTATATAGTAGTTTCAAATGCTGACACGTCACAAGTAGTGACCTTATCAGCCAATCCTACACAACCATTTAACTGTGCATGTGTGATAGAGTACTTACAACTACAACTCCCAGGATGCTTTGGTAGCACCCATGCTGTAACCAGACCCCACAAGACCGTTCTTTCAACCTATTTCCTTCAGCCTGGTGTGGGGAGGGCACAGGGCACTTTTGCCCTTTGGTTTTCTTGGGGACTGCGGGTGTCTCAGGCAGGCCCAGGCATGGCTCCACCAGTGCACCTCCTCCTCTCTTGATACTTTTGAACCTTGCCAGCTCCTCTCTCAGCTCCACCAGCAGGCAGAACAGATCATCCACCTGCTCACACCTCCACAGCTGCTGCCTCTGCTGCCCTCCAGCACCAGCACCGGCTCTGCCGCTGCCTGCAGCCCGAAACATGGGCGGCTGCGGGTCTGTGTGGCAGCTCCCACTGCCTTGCAAAGGCCTCTGCCATACGAGCGGGCCCGTGTCTGTGAGGCGAGTGCTTGCCGGGGCTGAGCTCCGTGCGAGAGGGTGACGAGCCCCGAGGGTGGCCCTGGAGCTCGTGAGTGTCCGCACCCTCCCTGCTGAGGTGGTAGAGCCGCTGCTGAGCTGGAGTTGCGGCTCTTCCCGCTCGGGCATGGAGGGCGAGGACACCACCCGAAATCCCACAGACTGTGCCGAGTTGGAAGGGACCCCCAAGGCTCCTCAAAACCAAACCGTAGCCCTGCACAGGACCATCCCCAAGAGTCACCCCCTGTGCCCGATCCGTCTTGAACTCTGGCAGCCTTGGTGCTGGGACCACTTCCTTGAGTAGCCTCTTCTGGGACCTGTAAGATAAAACATACGCAGGTCTTCTCAAGAATGCCAAAGCAGTGGAAGGATTCCAGAAAGGTTTCTCACAGGTGCAAGACCGCTTCTTGGGGACACTGCCCACACTGGACCCCCGGAGGCAAAAGGCCATACCCCCCTTCTCCCAGGCTTTTTATATCTTCTCTCTCTCCTCCCCCACCCTCGGTGTCCCCAGGAGGCCTTGGGCACGTCTGCAAACGTGGAAAATCTCAGCAAGCCAGTCAGATGGCTCGCTCACGGCTTCTCCCTTGCAACTTCCGTGGAAATGCATGAGGAAGGGAAAAAGAAATATCCAACCCCTTTGAGAAGGCCTTTTACAGTCTTCCCAAGGGCAATTGAGTTCTAGCTTTCTCTCACAAATTCTTCCAGAATTGTACCTCTCCCTACAGAGCCAACCCCCCTTAGGGTGAAGAACCTTTTTCGAAATGCCAACCGAAGCCTCGTCTGACACAACTGGAGGCCATTTCCTCCCGGCCTGTCACTGCTCACTGTCACAGGGAAAAGAGCAGTGCCTGCCCCTCCTCTTGCCCACAGGAGGAAGCTGTAACTGCAGTGAGGTCTGCCCTCAGTCTCCTCCAGGCTGAACAGACCAAGTGCCCTCAGACACTTCTCCTACAGGTTCCCCTCGAGGTCTTTCACCCCCCTCTTTGCCCTCCTTTGGACGCTCTCTAAGAGCTCAACATCTTTCCTACCCGGCGGTGCCCAAACCCGCACAAAATATTACAGGGGAGGCCACAGCAGTGCAGAGCAGGGCGGGACAAGCCCCTGCTGCGGTGGAAATCATTTCAGTGACCTTCACACGCTCCTTTCACAAAACGTCCCTTGGCCCCACTGCCCCTGCTTTGCCCAGCCTGCTTTGCCCCAGGCCATGCTAAGGCCTCCTAGCTGGCTCATGTTCCTCTTGCTGTCGAGCAGGACCCTCAGCTTTCCAGGACCTCATTCCCCAGCACGTGCCTACATCCAGGTTTGCCCCATCCCAGCTGCATAACCCGGCACTTTCCCTTGTTGAACTTCCTAGGATTGGGGATTGCTCCATCTTCTAATGAGTCCAGGTCTCGCAGCAGGGGCCTACCTGCCTCTGAGGGAGACAAGAGCTCCTCCTGCTTTTGTGTCACCTGCAAAATTGCTCAGGTCCATTCCAGTCCTGTGTCCAAGTCAATCTGGAAGATGTGGAAGAGCACAGGGCCTTCGATGGAGCCCTGTGCAGCCCGACTAGTGACGGGTGGCCAGTGGGAAGTTCCCCCATTCCCAGTGCTGTCTGCGCTCAACCCGTGAGCCAACTGCTCACCCAGGGCAAGCTGTGTTTGTGCACCTGTGAGTGCTGGGCACTTGGTCCCGAAGGATCCCGTGAGAAAGGGTATCAAAAGCTTTATTGAAATGGCCAAAGATCTGAGGGGAAGCCAAGTGGCTGGAGCTGTGCCTGTGCTGCGGTGCCACTTGTCCGACTCAGGTGCAGGCCCAGCCAGCAGGGCACTGTCCTGTGCAGAGGTTCTGCAGCTCTGCACCTCGGTCCTCAAGGTCACAGGCTTTTCCTCCCAGGGCTGGCCATGGGAGTGGCTGGGGCTGCCCATTTTGGCAAGAGACCCCCAGGGAGCTCCTGCCCAGTGGCTTTGCAATTGGGGTGATGATGCCCAGAGACAAGTGATGCTGAGGGCAGTGGTGTGAAGGCCAGGGCTTGTGGTGGTGTGATGTGTCTCTGGTGGCTATGACATCAGAGAGGACAGGTCAGAGTGGGAGCTGTGCCTAAGGACAACAGCAAGCAGCCCCAGGGCAGTTGGACTTGGGCAATCAGTGAGTACACATGCAGGGGGAAGGCTGGGATGGGTGGGGGATGGGGAAGATGCCCAGGGGGGTTTGTAGCCCTGAGCCAAAGCTGAGTCCCTCCCAGCAGGGCCGAGTTGTGCCCCTGGGCCCTGGCACACAGGTGCTCAGAGCTCTCTGAATTGGCAAGTGCCCCCAGAGAGGCTTTGGGGATGGGCCGGGTGGCCCTGGCTCCATGGGACACTGTGGCATGGCAGGGGTGGGGCCTTGGGAGACTCTGCTCGGGTGTCTCCTGCCTTTTCTCGGGATACAACCCTGTCAGGGGCGCACAAGGAGGGTCCTGGCTGGGGCAGGATGGGCCCTGTGCTGTCTGCAGCCAAGGACTGCCTTCCCTTCCAGCCTTGATCCCCATGCTCCCTCCCACCCCAAGCCACTGAGGAAACTTTTCTCCTATGTCCTTCAAGCCATGGTGTAAGACCTGAAGCTCTTCTTGTGAGCTCACTAAAGGGTTTTGTGTCAAAAAAGATGCAAGGCCCCAAAACCCACTGGATGGATTTATTAAAGTGACCTTCAGTTCTTTTTACCTTTAGGCCATACATGTGCAAAACACTACGACTCTTTTGAAGGGGGTGAAAATAACACACTTTTATTAGCAAACTTTGGAAAATAAGGGAACTTGGAAAAAGTTTAAAACAAACTTTTAGTCAACCTAAAGCATTTCACAAAGCATTGACTTAGCAACTTCCAACCCATCCAGGTTTAAGTTACTGAAGTATCAAGAAAAGGAAATTAAGACAAGTGGAAGTAAAGGAAGAGAGAGAGAGAATTATAGTTACCACTTTAGATCCAGCATAGAATCAGCTGCCAGAAGTCCAAGAAGAGTAGGGCCATGACCACGTGAAGACCATGTGGTCTTGGTTTTATTTTCTCTGGTGGGGCTTTCAGTGTGCCAGCCATTCTGAGGCTGGGCTAGGGGCTCCAGGGGGTGTGGTGTGGGGTAGTGTCTTGGTGTGCCAGTGACTGACTGCTGCACTAGAAGCTCTCCAGAAGGATGGGTTATGGGGGAGTCAGTGCACCATTCCACCTTGGCAGAACGCGATCTGTCCCCTCCCGCACAGACAGAGTTGTTTCGAACCAGTAATAACGTTCATGATTTTTTTCAGTCCTTCACAAATGGCAGTGGCAATCACACTCCTCCTGGTTGGGGTGACCATCCTACTCGGACAGGCGCACGATCACATAGTCAGTGTGGCCACGGCCCAGTGGATGAAGTTGCGTGAGGTTTTTCTGCATCGGGTGATGACATGGCTTTGGCGGGACATTGAGCTGACCAGCCCCATGGAAGAAGCCTCACTCCTTTCCAAATTGCAGCACTGGCTCTTTTGCACCGCTGCAGCAGCTATGCTCGCTGAGATTTGCTGGGTGGCCTGGCAAATGCATCTTGCCTCTCACAGCTGCCCTGAGCAGGACAGCTCCAGCAGTGAGGAGGAGGAGGATGACAAGGAGAAGGACCTCAAAGGACAACGCGCCAGTGTCAGGCTGTTTTCAGTGCCCAGTGTATTGCCAATGCAGGAACTGTCCAAGATGTGCAGGGATGTGAAGAAGTTGGTGCGTGACCTCCTACGTGTCTGCCGAGTGCTTTGCAGGAAGACTTCCATGCCAGAGATGCGCCCGGCTACTGGGAAGGACGGCATCCACGAATCCTGGAATGTCTTTGAGAACCGAATCGTGTACCAGCTGATCGTGTTCCTGCAGCCACCCCCCGGGCACTCTTTCAGACTGGAGCCGTATGGTGGGATGCACCTGACAGAGAGGTGCTGCGACATCCGTGTGGTGCTGGAGTGCACATGCTCAAGGACAGGGGATAGGTTTTGTTTTCTCCACCCCTCCGACAGCAATCAGAGCTCTCCCCTCCTGTCCACCCTTTGCACAGGCTCCTGCTTAGATGTGGAGGAAATTGCCTGCTGGATACAAAATTTGGTGCGATCAGCCTGGGAGCGTTTGCCTCAGTGGCACGACTGGCAGCTCCGGGTGCTGCCCTCCTCCCACTCCTGCAGGCTCCTGCTGACTGGCCCCTCTGAGGTGCAGCTCTGCGCTGTGCTGCTGTTTGCAGTGCAGCAGGGCAGCCCAGGCACCTTCCTGGTCCTCCAGTAGGCAGTGGCAGCTTTCCCAGGTGCTTGGTTTGGGCCAGGGCTACACGGGGAGTTGGGAGCACACACAGCCAGGACAGCACAACAGAACATTATGCTCGGTATATGAAAGAGCAGAGGAGAAGGAGGAGGAGGGGGACAGGTTTGCAGTCACAGGCATTTGTCTTTCCAAGTCACCGTTACTGGTGATGGAGCCCAGTTTCTCTAGAGATGGGTGAACACCTGCCGGCCCATGGGAAGACAAACGTTGTAACTCCAAACATCCCCTCAGAATCATGGAATCAATTAGGTTGGAAAATACCTCTGAGGTCATGGAGTCCATCCTATGACTGAACACCACTCATGGATGTCACACAACCAAGTTCCACGTCCAGTCTTTCCTTAACACCTCTGAGGACTCCACCACATGAGCAGTCCATTCCAATGTCTAATCATCCTCTCTGTGAAGAAATTCCTCCTAATGTCCAACCTAAACCTACCTTGGTGCAGCTTAAGACTGTGTCCTCTCATCCTGTCTCTGGTTGCCTGGGAGAAGAGGCACAGGCACTCCAGGAAGTTCTCTTCCACACACTCGAGAAACCCTCTAGGCTGGCTCCTCTCCACTGAGCTGAGTTTTCAGCAGGTGTCCAGCAGGTGCCTCCTCCTTCCTTCTTCCTTCTGTCCCCTTCCTTATATACTGAGCATGAGGACATATGGTATAGAATGCCCCTTTGATCACTTGGGGTCGGCAGTCCTGTCTGTGTCTACTCCCAACTCCCTCACATACCCTGTTGTGGTTTAAGCCCAAGGTGGAAATTAAGGTCAGTGAAGCCACTCACTCAACCCTCTTCTCTTTCCCCCCCTGCCCCGGTGGAATGGGAACGAGAATCAAAAGTAAAGCTTGTAGGTTCGGAAAAGTTTAATAATTAATAATTTAATAATTTAGATAAATTTAATAATTGAAAACAAATTAAAATATAGTAGTAATGGTAAACATTAAAGACAATAAAATTGGAAAGGAAAAAATCTAAGCAAATGATGAACACTACAATTGCTCACCAACTGCTGACCGATGCAAGACCTCCTTTCGCAAACCTGGATCAGCCCCTTTGTAGGTAACTCTCCCAGTTTATATACTGGGCATGACTTTCTGTGATGTGGAATATTGCTTTGACCAGTTTGGCCAGTTTGGGTCACCTGTCCTGTCTGTACCACAAAAAACCCCCAAACCCAAAAAAACAACCAAAAAACCTAAAAAACACCAACAAACCCCCAAAACAAATGAAAAAACCCCACAAACAACGAAAAAATTCCTTACTTAGGATAAGAACGATTTAGCAAAAGTGAAAATATCAGTGCATTATCAGCAATATTCTTGTTCTGAATCCAAAACTGTACCAGCTACTGAGAAGAAATTAACTCCATCCCAGCCCAAACCAGGACATACCCCCAGCTCCTTCCCCAGCACGGCAGTAGGAGAAGCAGAAAAGGCCTTGGTGCTGTGCAGACACTTATGAGCACCAAAAAACATCCCTGTATTATGAACCATTTCCAGCACAAATCCAAAACACAGACTCTTGCTAGTCACTAAAGAAAATTAACTCTCCCCCAGCCCAAACCAGCACACTGAGCAACAGGTTTTGAATTGTTTTCTATGGTAAAGAAACAAAATTTGAGCACCAAAGCCTGCTATCTAGTTTTCATAATAGTACAAAAGGTCATTTTTCCAAGTGGTTAAACTTCACCCCCAGGCTTTCAAGACTATATGCTGAGTCTTTATTAAGAAAAATCTTATTGCATTAAGAAGCAGCCATTGCTTTTAAGAAGAGAGAGACACTGGTTTTTGTAAAGAACAAAACAGAAACAAGAAAGCCTTATCACGTTAGCAGCACGAACGACATGTGAAAATAAAGTTTGCAATAAAAATTGACATTTCCTTGGCTCCTTTTTCCATTGAGGTCTAACAGGTGTTTGCAGGGTTGCCAACCCCCCTAGGTTAATTCTGTGCGTGAAGAACAGTGAGATTAAGCTACTTCCTCAAGTGGAATTCTGAAAAATTAACTGAAAAGGGGAATCATGGAGTTGTTAAGGAAACTTTCCTGTTGGACCATCCAGGAGTCAGTCCAGGAGTCACACCCACAGTACCTGCACTAGGACCAAGGTCTCTTTGCAGCAGCAGCTCCAGTGACCCCACAGTTGCCCCACTTGGCTCCCTGCACACACCACACTGACACAGTCAGGCCAGGTTTCCTTACCAGTTCAGCATCAGCTTTCCCACAGCAGAGCCACAGAAGGGAAAATTCTTCAAATACTTTAATCTTGGTGCAATAACAGAATAACACCTCGAGCTGGGTGACTCGGAGGAGGGACCCTGAGCAAAGTATCCCCTGAACTTTTATACCCTAGCAGTCCAAATGTTGGAAGGTCTGGGGTCCTCAGCTCCTGACATGTCTCTCAGTGTCCCTCACCTTGCTGGAGCCACAGGTCCCTGTGCCCTTTGTCATGCAAAGGGTCAGCAGTTCGCAGCCTCTTGCCTGGGCTTCAGGACCCCAGAGCTCAGGCTGCAGCTCTCACACCACCTGCATACCCAGCTACCAGAGCTGTATGTATTTCTTAATGGAATCATAGGATCATAGAATGGTTTGGGTTGGAAAGGGATCTTGAAGATCATCTAGTTCCAATCCTGCAGCTATGGCAGGGACATGTTCCACCAGACCAGGTTCCTCAGAGCCCCATCCAACCTGGCCTTGGACACTTCCGGGGATGGGGCAGCCACAGCTTCTCTGGGCAACCTGTTCCAGTGCCTCATCACTAGCATAGTAAAGAATTTGTTCCTAATATCTACTCTAAGTGTACTCTCTATCAGTTTGAACCTATTCCCCTTTGTCCTGACACTGCATGCTCTTGTAAATAGATGTGAGATTGAAATGTTAATGGTAATTACTCAAACAATCAGCCATCTGCTGAGGCCAGGTTTGCAAGGAACTAGCCCAGGTGCAGAGGGGGTTTGCATCCACCACCAGAGGACTGCACACGATCCACAGTGTTACAACATACGGTGTAAAACTCCCCCCAGGGGAGGTATCTGGATGTTCCCATGTAAACCAGAACATTTATTAACCCACTGAACTTTTTTGCTTCATGGGGTTCCCCAACACCCAGCGGGTCAGGACTGAGACCATCACTTCCACCAATGGACACCTAAATTGCAACAAGTCTCCTTGCTGGATCCAGTCATATCTTTATACAGTTATATTGTTATATTACTATAGATGATAATAAGTAAAACAGCAACATTTGCTCAGTATGTAGCATCATCATTTACCTGAATTTTTTCAAGCTCAGCAACTGTGGGATTGAGATGTTGAGGTTTCCTGGTGGGCCACTTTCATTCTTTTTCCACAGCTGCTGTCCTACGTTTTTAGAAGTCCACAAACAAGGCACAGACAGATTTTACTTTACATTTGCAATGGAAGAGCACGCCCAGAATATCAGTGCCACTGTTCACCTGAGAAGAGTCAGCTTGAGCACTTGTAATGACCTGTTTAGAAACCAGTAGTAGAGCAGAGCTAGTCACAAGTATAACCTCTCCAGACACGCATGGGGCACACACTCCCTCCTCTGCAGCCATTGTTCCACTGTGCACATCGTTCCCACTGAGCTGCAGCCTTTGTACACAGCCTGGGGAGAGCAGAGGGAGGTTTCATCTCCTGTGCGTTCCTGCTCACAGCTCACAAGGCACAGCAAAACTGTTCTTTCTATTCCTCTTATTCTACTCACAAAGCTTTTGTATCTGCAGAGGACCTTTCAGTTGCACAATCCCAGGCTGTACTCAGGTTGCATCCTCTCTGTGAGCTCCTGTGTCTGTAGGGACAGTGCAAGGGAAGCAGCAGAAGTGCAGAGCCAGGAACAGGGGACAGGAGAACAGACTCGCTCTTCGTGCTGGCAGATGTTTTGCAAAACATCACTCTCAGAGGCAGAAAAATGGACAGGCAGAATTAAACATCTCCCATTTGTCATATCTCAGATTGCTGTAGAGTCTTTCTGGCTGCCTGACTTTCGCAACAGTCTCTGAACATGCTGCCACTCACCCTTTTGTTCGGCTGGCTTCTTGACTGCCCTAGTTCCCTTTGGTTCAGATACCTGAGCAACTTTTTGCAAGGCTGATGACGACATTTTCCTGCTCAAATCCATCCACAGATTAAGACATCAATCTATATTCTCGATTTTAGCCCTGTCCTAACCACTGAGTCCATTTACCTCCCAACAAGCTTAAATCTCCCCAGTAATCAAATGTTCAGCACCTCTGCATAGGTCCCCCGTGGGTTTTAATGTGGCACCTTGGTAGCTGGCATATTACCTCAATTTGGATGCCCCCAGCTGTATCTTAGACTCAGATGTCTGTGGGATCCAACCACCAGAGGAAAGAGAGACCCATAATCAGTGAGCAGATCTAGACCTTCTGTGCCTAAGCATTAACTAGAAACTGTGTCATAGAATCACAGAATCCCGAGGACGTCAAACCTCCCCTAACAGTGTTGGCAACTGTGTCAGAGTGTCAAAGAATCATAGAAATGTAGGATTTGGAGTTGGAAGGGGCCTCAAAAGATCAGTTAGTTCCAACCCCCTGACCTCACCTTCCACTAAAGCTGGTTGCTGATACTTCTCCTTTTTTTTTTTTTTTTTTCCGCTCCACCCAAAGTAGTACCTACATTTTCTTGCTGAGTTTTCCTGGCAACTGTTTTTTGTTATTTTTTTTTTTTAATGATGACACATTTTACTCTGTTCCCCTTCAAAATGCTTCACAATATGCTCTTAGAGCACTTCACTGTGGGAGATGTCAGACTGCAGCTTTTTTTCTCCAAAACTTACTTGAAACCTGCAACTCTGTCCAAGGCAGGTAAATATTCTCCAGGAAAGTAAGTTTCCCAGTATTTTAACTCACACAGAGATGAAATAGCATGCTGTATTTTAAAGCAAGCTTTTTTCCACTCCTGCTGTGATGTAAGAAGTTGTTTTGTGAATCTCGTTGCTTACACTGGAAAGATCAGGGCAGAGAAAACAGTGAAGCAGCAAGTTTGCTTTATGCAGCATCAGTCCTCTGGTAAAGTGAGTTTTTTCACTAAAAATATCTGTGATAATTTGATCTAGAAGGAGGACTCTGTGTGAAGAAAACTTGAAATCACTATTCTCACCTCTTCTTCTAGGTGTTTGCTGCACAGTGGAGAATTTTTTATGTGAGATCATCACAATGGTACTTACGGCACCCTGGTCAGCAGAGACTCTGAGGTTAATACTTAAAAAGAGCACATTCTTTTTCTGTAGTATCTGCTGTGCAACTGCTTTTAAGTTTGTTGCTCGAAGAACGTGCAATTGTATTCCAGAAAGCCAGTTGTATCCTGGCTGCATCCTCACAGCGTGGCCAGGAAGTTGAGGGAGATGATTGTCCCCCTCTGCTCTGGTGAGGGGTGTGTCCAGCACCTGCAATGCCATGTCCAGCTCTGGGACCTGCAGCATCAGAAGGATGTGGAGCTGCTGGAGCGAGTCCAGAGCAGATCATGGAGAGGTTCAGAGAGCTGGAGCACCTCTGCTGTGGAGCCAGGCTGGGAGAGCTGGGGGTGTCCAGCCTGGAGAAGAGAAGGCTCCAGGGAGACCTAAGAGCCCCTTCTAGTGCCTACAAGCTACAGGAGAGCTGGAGAAGGGACTTGGAATGACAGGAAAAAGGGGAATGGCTTCACACTGAGAGAAACCAGGTTTAGATTAGATATAGGGAGAAATTCTTGTCTCTGAGGGTGGGGAGGCCCTGGCACAGGTTCCCCAGAGAAGCTGTGGCTGCCCCATCCCTGGAAATGTTCAAGGTCAGGTTGGACAGGGCTTGGAGCAAATTGGGATAGTGGAAGGTGTCCCTGGCCATGGCAGGGGGTTGGAACTGGATGATCTTTGAGGTCCCTTCCAACTCTAACCATTCTGTGATTCTAGTATTATGAGTTTATGATTCTACAATGCTATGTGTTTAGGATTCTATTAGTTTTTTGATTCTATGTGTTTAGGATTCTATGATTCTGTGGCATAGTTGCCTACATTGTTACAGGAAGTTTGATATCCCCCAGGAATCCCTTCCAAATCTGCAAATTTCTTGTGTCAGTGAAAGATTGTTTATAATTATTTTTTGTAAATATGGAGCTATGACACAGCTGTAGAATTCTGCCTTCCCTCAACAAGGAACAAAAACATAAGCCTCAGTATTTGCTACCTCCATTTGCACCAAAGTTTCTTTGAGTGTCTTCTTGAAGTTTGATCTTGGCTTAGTCAGCTTGTGAGTCCACAAAAAAAAAAAAAAAAAAAAAGGGAGCAGAGGGGGTGAAGGAAAGCAAATCCTTATTCCAAACTAGTCTTCTCAAAATTTGCACAAGCATTAATCAGCACATTGCTGCAAAACAGAACAAATAAGAGCATCATGTTCTTTTGAAAGACCAGTTTAAAGGGTTTTGAACTGACTCAGACAAACACATCCCTCAGGGACATCTTTGATTTCTACATTGTTCTCCTGATCACACAGTGTGTTCCCAGAATGAGATTTTTCTCTGTTTGTCTTCTTTTTCTTACTGGGCATGGTATTCAGGCAGAAAATCTGTCAGAAAGGAATAGCTGCATATAAATGTTATTCTTAGTATGGTTTCCGATATTATAGCTCAGCATGTTTGGAATATTGATCACAGCACTTAAATTTGCAATTAAAATGATACTTTCTTTTTCCACTGATTTTTTGACTGATCTTATGCAAAATACAGCCTGGGATTGACATAAGGGCAATAAAAATTGCACAGAAAAATCTGTTCCAAGCTAATTGTTAAGCATATGGTCACATGCCGTGGAAAGGGGGCAGGCAATATGAACAAGAAGTGAACAGGGACATTGAGTATCTTTAAAAAGACCGAGTTTTTAATTACTGCTGCTACTTGCATTTTCATTAATTTCCTCTTGCCTTCATTTTCCACACAACCTTCTTTTTTTTTTTTTCTTTCTCCCCCTTTAGAGAGGCATTCATGCTCTCCCACAGTGGTGCAGGGAACTGCTGGCTTGAAGATGGAGAAAACTAAGGTGAAAGGAGTTAGAAGTGGAGATTCTGGAATATCATTTTTATGTCATCCCACAAAAATTAGGATGAATTCAAAGAGATCACATACAATTACAGCATGGTCAATGATATGATATGATCATCATGAATTTTTTGCCATTACAGCTGGTTAAAAGTTGGATTTATACATGGATTCTTTGGTCTAGGGAATTTAAGTGGAAGTTTTCCTAATTTCTTCTTTCTTATTTTTTTTTCTCTACAGATTTGGTAATTTGCAGTCAAATACCTTGTCCAGAGACCCTGTGGCTGCCCCATCCCTGGAAGTGTTCAAGGCCAGGCTGGATGGGGCTTGGAGCCACCTGGTCTAGTGGAAGGTGTCCATACCCACTGCAGGGGTTTGGAACTAGAAGGTCTTTAAGGTCCCTTCGAACCCAAAAAATTCTGTTGTTCTATGATTCTGTGATCTTGGATGCACACCGAAAATTTACCTATTTCTATATAGCATAAATCAAATTCACAGTCAGTGCAGCTTATTTTTCACTTCTGAATTTTCCAGAACATTCTCACCCTTTGTTTAACCAAATGTAAAAAGCACCACCTTCTGATTTCAGTGCTTACTCGGTGATGAAGAGGATTGGTGATCGATATGCTCCACTTTTCTCCAGTCAATACCTGAGCTATAGGTCACTCTGTTAGAACTTTTCCATCCTTCTTCACAAAATGAGTTTTTCTCAGATTGTCGTCCCCATTCTATGCCTCAGTTTCTTTATTGCATCAATAACCGAGTCTTATTCATGTGCTGCTCTCATCCCCACACTAGTATTTTAGTTCCTCTCATAACTGCTTGTCTCTGTCCTGTTACTTTGTCTCTTTAATACCTGATTTCAGAGCCGCATTAATTGTTTTTTTCCTGCATTGTGTATAAAATGATATTTGAAATTCTCTTCACTGAAAGGTAGGATTTTTCATTCTATTTTCTTCCATTTTCTTAAAAAAAAAACCAAACCAAACCTTACAATTATCATAAAAATGTACAATGACTTCCTTATATAGCAGAAAAGGAAATAAGCCAGCAAAATCCCTTTTTAAAGCCCTTCACATTTTTTTTATGGTGATGAATATAGCACTATAAGTACATGAAAATTAATAGAAAATGCTAATTTTTATTACAGTAAAGTGTCCTTAATATTTTTCAATCTTTTTTATTAACAGGAGACCTTATTATGTTATTTAGATTATTACAGCAAACACTGCAAATGCATTTAGTCATTATTGATGTTCCACTCATATCTGTCAAAGGAGTAGAATTTCATTACTCCCCTCATTTTTCCTAACTACCTTAATCTTTTGTTTAGCTCCCCTGTTTCCCCAGGTGACCTAACTCTGGGAATCATCAAGGAACAGGAGAACAACAGAGAACTGATCACTTACAATTCTTTATTGATCCTGTGTTTTGCCAACACCAACCACCTCTTCCCAGTGAAAACAATAATCACCAATCCTGCATTGTAGGAGGCCTGGATGAAGTTGGGAATATGAATGAGTGGTAGAACAAAGCACCAATAAAGCAAATAACTGGATAAACTGAAATCATTCCCTATTGAGTAAATTTTTACCTTGGACCAAAACCTGCTGATGGAAACCAACTTCTAGCTGCCAGGTCTGTCAAGATGATAACACGGGATACGGTGCAATAATTTAATGATTTAAATTTAGTTTAGCGAAGCCAAAACCATCTGGTCCAAGGGACACTTTGGCAGATTGAGTAGAGTGAGAATACTGTTCTTGTTGCTGTTATGGTCTGATAACAAAGGAAAAATACACAACCAAAGCCATTAAAAAGTCATTCGCAGTCTATCTCCCAACCAAGTTAGAATAATAAGAGGCAGAGCACTAATTATAATTGTACAGAGTTTCCCAGCAGAGACATTGCAAACCAATTGCCACTTGTCTGTTCTCGAGTATTTTCTGCACGCAAATAATCTGTAAATGCATTCATTTGTGGCATCTTTTCATTTATGTGACAATATTATTACATTTGTGTTTTCCCTGGCAATTGTTGTATTGCCATCTGGGAGTGATTAGTGAAACACTTTAGAGAAAGTAAGAACATCTCTGAATCTGCCCCTGATTTTAGGTCTGGGTTGAAATGGACTCTCAATAAAATAAACTTGTGCATTTCAGGAAGATAGACAAGATGCTGATTGCATAGGTAGCAGTGGAACAGAAAATGAGATAGGGCCACACACACAACATAGAAGGGTATTAGAACTGGATGCGATATTCCATTTTCATCTTCTACAAGGTTATTTTAAAGGGTACATTTGTTTATTCTATAACTATCTCTTTGTAAAAACAGGGATTTTTCATGGTCCTTTTTTGCTGCACAATTCTGTGGACAGCTGGGGCAGAGCTACCTGACCACATCTACTCCAAAGCCACTTTTCAGTCTGTCTGATTTCCCAGAAATGGTCCCCCACATGGGCAGAATGCCTTTTATTCCTTCTTCTGAAAGACATGGCTTTGCACTGGTATTAAGACTCATTTTCTTGAACAGGTACCTCTTATGAGGCAGGCATCATGTGTGTGTATGTGTGACTGCATGTTACTTTGTCATCCACAGAGATCATATTTATTATCAAACAACAAATGAAAAAAACCTGAATTCTGTCAAACTAATAACCATTCTTCATAAAAATCCCAGATGGGCACTCCAACAATAAAAATGCCACTTCTATTAATTAATTAATCAGTTGGCAAATACGAGCTCTATCAAGATTTTCAAATGCTAGGGGGGACATGGAGTGCTGAGTCTGAACCACAGAATCATGGAATCGTTACAGTTGGGAAAGCCCTCTAAGATCATCAAGTCCAGCCATTAACCCAGCATTGCCAAGGCCACCACTAAACCTTGTCCCCAGCTGCCACATCCTCATGCTGTTTTGAACACTTCCAGGGATGGTGACTCCACCAGTTCCATGGGCAGCCTGTTCCAATGCTTCTTTCAGTGAAGACATTTTTTCTAACATCCAATCTAAATCTTCCTTGGTGTAACTTGAGGCCATTTTCTCAAGTACATGTCCTGATGACTTCAGACCCTACAGTGTCTCAGCTCCTCCCTCTGTTTCATTCTTTCTCAGTATCACTTCAGAGACCTGATAAGTCTTGAAGCTGGAAAGCTCCTACCACACAACAACCCCAGATGTGACTAGCAGAGAACACAGAGGAAATGGCACAGGAAAAAAAAAAAAGGGAAAATGGTAGGATATGATGTGAGGAAGGGAGAACCAAGGGGGGAAAAAAGCAGGAATAGAAAAAGTAAAATATAATTTGTCATGATTGGACTTGGCAGTCTTTCTTGAGGCTGATCTGGTTCCTCATCTTGCACTGAGTTTCTCCCACTCCCTTGCTTTCCAGGAAAAGCTTGCACAAGAATGCTGTGATAATCAGATAGCAAGTTCAGGAGTTCCTTTATCTCTGTTACCAGCTGAGATGCCCATCTCACTTCTTACACGAATGTCCTGCATCCTGACAACACTGGTTCATGTAAGTCACTTAATTTAGATCATTCGCCTCACTGAAAGCAACTCATAAGCCTCAAGTTATTTGTTTAAAACCATTTTTTGCAGTTTGGGCTTTGGAGTGGAGGAGGAACCAAAGAGACTCATGAATAGATCACCTGCCAGTCCCCTGACCTGCCCTTTCAAGTATTTTACTGTCTCCACAGGAGACATTTAAGTCAAATCAATAATGAACATAAAAATGCAAAATAAGGAAAAAAAACAATAAACCAAACCCCTCCTGCTACAAATTCTTTTAGATTAACAATTTAATCTTATTTTCTGTAGAAAGAATAAAAGAGCAGAACTGCAAGGTAATACCAGCCTGTTTAGTATAACCGAAAATAATAATAGTATAAATGAAGTAAAATGAACTGTACAATAATGAGGCTGAAAGGTCATCCGTACTCCACATCCCACGAAAGTTCATGCATCCCACCAGCAGCCAGCAGTGTCAAATATCTGTATATGGATGTGTGAGAGATGAAAGCAAAAAGCGAAATGTTACACTGCTTTGTGAGTTTTTTTCTTAAAAAATAGTTGGCTTGAATATTGTCAGACAAAAACAACAATCTGCATAAGGGCATCATGGAGCATATGGTTTGCAGATAAGCTTTGCTTTTAGAATTATAATCAAGCATGTGTTACTTTATGGCACAATTATAGAGGGAGATAAATGAATGTATGCTCTGCATTTCTGTGCAGACTTCTACAATAAGAATTAACTTTCCTGCACTCTTTACCTTTCTCTAAGAAGGGAATTGCTCAATTTCCAGGCATGAATAAACAAACAACTTTTATATATTTGTAGGTAGTTAAAAAAAGGATAAATTAGGCCCTCCAGTTATAGTGTTGCAAACATTTTCTTCGTTTGATGAATTTACAAGGATGCAAAATACCTGTGTGAACAAATAAACGTTGCCTATATTCAATTAAACCACTGCTTCCTTCATGCTTTAATTACATAATTAATGTGATAAATTAAACTGTTTCTCAGTGAACCATCCAGTCTAAGCTCAGAATTTATATTAGTGTACTTTGCTATATATGCAAAAAAAGTAATTTGGATCATGAAATTATCTCTGAATTACTTCCCTGTTTTCACTTCCACTTTGAAAAAAAACTATAATAGACACTAAAACCTAAGTTTCTCATTGCTGTACTTTGCAGCAGCGTTAAGAACATGCAGAAGAGTTAAGATATTTTTACCATACATGGCCAATGTGTTTTCCCCATAAATTTTGTGTTAATGCCCAAAGGGGACCAGAATAAGATGTCCTAACAGTGCTAAATCCCATCCTTTTCCGTGCATAGCTCCATTTAGCATAACAGGATGAAGTGTCCTTCATCAAGGGCACCAGAATGGTTTGCCTGCAGGATTCTTTCTTGTGTCCACCAGCACATAATGTGCTCTGTTTTTTGGCTTTTGCTGCTTGGTTCCATGTGATTCAGTTGAAGTGCTCAACTCCCTGCTTCAGGAGGCTACAGAGAGCCTAATTGAGAAAGTTGGATGGACTCATGCAAGAAAACTTCATTAATAACCAAGCTGCACACTGCTGAAAGCTGGGAGGACGGACAAAGGAAATGCTGGTGTGTGCTCACTTTTTTCTTATAATCTGCCCCAGATTTCTGTGTCTAATGCTGGTAGAGGGAGTGTGCTGCTCCCAGTTGGGAGATGGATACAACACTTTTAGCTCCAGCAGAGAGAGAATTACAGCCTGTCTCGCAGGGCAGATACATTATTTAACACAACAAGCACAGGCTTTGGGCAACAAAAATCAATCACAGGCATCTGAGGGATTATCCTACTTGATTGAAAGTCTCCTCAGACAGAGTGCTGGTCTCTCCTTGGGCTTCAGAACTTCAGAAAATGTAAAGTTTCTACTTTATTTACAAACCTTATTGCTGGTGCAAACAGTAACTGTTAGTTAGACATCCATCTGGAAACTCATTCCCTGTAATTTTCCACTTCCTTGCTCAGCAGTAAAATGCTATTAGTAGTATCTGCTAAATGTATAGAATCACAGAATGTTTTGAGGTGGAAGAGACCTTAAAGATCACCTAGTTCCACTCCCTTGCCAGGGAACTATTGCAGCTGAAAATATCAAACCACCTCAAAAACTTGGAGTAAAAATGAACCGTGGGCAGCTCACAGGGTCCCAGAGCTGGAACAAATTAACGCCTCCTCTAATATCTTCAGGCATACAAAATCTCGCAGCCTCACCCATCCAGTGGTTTTGCCAATCTGTAGAGAGGGAAGGAGAGGTGGCAGCTAAGAGTAAACAGAGAGGCTGAGCTGGTTAGGCTGCAGGTTTGACAGCTGGATGCTGACAGAGCAGGTACAGCTGCAAAAAGGGGCGGGGGGCCGAATAGAACTCTGCATGAGTCGGCTACAGGATCGCCCATACTCCTGGATCAACCATCTGTTGATCATTCCCACCTTATGCCATTTCTCCCAGGTGTTAGACAACAACAAGTCACAATTTCTGGAATCTCAGAAGGAAGCAGTATCCCAGATGTTCATTAGAGCTAAACAAATATTCGGTTATGTTTAATTATATTTGAAAATGGAGTAACCCATAAAGAGGCTGAATACTGTAAACAATAATTGCTAGAGGGCCCTTTCTTCTCTCCTTGTCCTGGGAAGATGGGGCAACACAAACCATAAGTGGTGTTTCTGCTAATAAAACTAGGTCCATATGAAATCTGTAATGAGAAAAAGGTGGAGAGGCTTTAGAAGTTTTTACTGTCTCTCCAGTGCATTTGATTAAATCAATGCAATCTGTATTAAAACCAAGAAGTTTTTACATAGAGAACTTCCTAATACAGAGACAACATTTCAACAGCTTGAAAATAATTCTTACATTTCTAGAACAAAACATGGAACGGAAATAGAGGGGAGGGAGGGGGAACCAAACAACCTTTACCAAAAGCAGAGTTGCAGAATCTTTCAAGACAGTGAAGTCTCAATTTCTCTGGAGCTGAGTGCACAGTAAGGACATGTAATACATTCATAATTAGGGCTT